ATTGTACGTCCCCCTCGAAATGACGAAATTTTGATTCTAAACATTTTTTCGTAGTGTGCTTATTTTTCGAGTTATTTGGCTGCCTAAGTTAAAATGGGTCACCCTGTATATGTAACTTCCTTGTATTTCAAATGAAATATCCCGTCATGACAAAATAAAAACAATGTAAGGAAATTTCTGAAAGATATTAAATATACTATACTAATACTATACACTAATTGAATAATAAGTTAAAAGAAAAGTTATTAAAACTGAAATAAAGATATTTTAATCTATTCATTTTTTTAACAAAATAAAATAAGTATTTTTAAAACAAATCATTAAACGCTTGTAAAACAAATTATTAAACAAGTATTTTTAAACAAATCATTAAACAAATAATTAAACACTTAATATATTAATATACCTTAATATATATATTTTGTTTTATATTTTGTACTCTTTCTTGCTATCAGTGCTGTAACATATATATTTTTAGATACAGATACTTTTGTATCTATAAAAATGTATCTATTACAATACTGCTTGCTATTGTACTTTTTTATATATTATTCAGTCTCAACTTTTTAAGTAGTGCATTTTACATTATAAACGTTAAAATTCTATATTTTATATTTTAGATAAAAATTATTTAGTAATGTAAACGGTGCTTTCTTCTTTTTTCAATAGTAACTCTGCTAATTTAGCATTTGCCAGAGAAGCACGTAACTCCAATTGATTTAATTCCTTCAGGTGTGCTTCTTTAATTTCAATAACTGTTTTTTCATGTTGCACTTGTATTTGTGCTATTTGCTGTTCTTTTTCTATAACATTTCGTACCCTCAATATTTTTAAATCCATTTCTGTTTCTAAAGATAACTTCTTTTTCTTTATTTTTCTATTATTTTCATCTTGCGTCACAATTTCCGTAACAAACAAATATATAGGTTGAAAAACGATTAACGAAGATACTTCATTCGCAGTTTATATGTTAATTGCAGTTATGTAACTTGAAATGTAACAATAGCTTTTCATCCATGTTATAATTTTTTTTCATGAACTTGTAATATGTTATACTTTAGGTCAAAATAACAGATACGTATTTTATTATATGTGCTCTTTCGCAAGTTTAGAGGATGAAATACCTCTTTGAAAAAAATCGGTTTTATTCAATCAAAGGGAATATAATGAAAACCGTAAGAGATACAAAAAAATTTTTTTAATAAAAGTTGAATGGTTTAAAAAGTACTTTACAGAAATTATTAAAAAAAATTTTTTTTGTTAATATTAATATTAACAACATATTACAAGTTCAGGAAATTCGGAGGCGAACCCTTGTGTGGGTTTTCTTGTAAGCAAGCTATTATAAACCTTTGGCAGCTAACACATTAGGTAACACTTCAGATCCTATTTCATTGTTTGCCATTTCATTAGGTGTATCGATTTCAATCACCTTCATAAATTATTCAGTACTGTTCATGCTTATATGTTCCAAAATATTGTCTTCTGCATCTAAAATTCAATAATTATTTAAATAAAATTTTTTTAAGATTTGATCGTTTATATTAATGATTAAAGCAATATTATGAAATAAAGTACTTATTATATAATTAATAATACATAAATAATTACCTTCCATTTCTTTGTCATTCATATTGGATGTAAATATTATAGGAGCTATAGTCATTAAATTTGGTGCTATCATAGCGATATCGGGATCAATATCTGTGGATAGTTCCTCTGGTCCTCCACCTGTTGCAAATCTTGCCTGCTTTTCTCTTGTTAATGCATCTCGTTGTATTTGCTTTAAATTGTTCCATAATTTTTTTAACTGTTGTACAGTTCTCTGCAAACATAAAATTTAAAAATGTTATTAATCAAATTAAATGTAATATATCAATTAACTTATTTAAAATTATATAATATTTAAATTTCATTCTTACATCTTGTACAATCAAGGAGGAGTTATTGAATTCATCACAAATCTCCTTCCATGCTGCTTCTTTATTGCGAAGCGTATCAGCACAACTTCTTTTGCATTCAATAATGTGTTTATATTTTCCTAAAATTTGTAAGAATACGTTTTTTTCTGCTGGCGTGTAATGTCTACTTTTCGTTGCCATTGTAAAAGAAAGACTTCCTTTCTTCACAGTCTGATCATATGTGGTTTTCACACAATAATTTATTGTCTTTGTATTAATGAAAAACGTCAACAGTTGATCTACAAGAATGAAAAATGGAAGATAGAAATATATAGTATGAAATATTACCAATAACTATTTGATATGTATGAGCCTGAAACCACTTGAAACCCAGACAGCACGTATTAATAAAACAATATTTATATGAAAGATTCATAAATATTTTAAAGAAATAGTTTGCATAAATATATTAAGAAACCTTGGGTGCTTACGATAACGAGAGTAGAGCGAGTGAGATCTGGATCCGAGAGAATAGTATAATCTCCCATCTATAATTGTAATATTCTATGGTCTGCTCTGGCTCCTGCTTTTGCAATTTCATGAGCAGATCAGGAGCAGATCAGGAGTTTCATGTCGCAAGCAACAAAAGATAATGTATCATACTTAAAGTTTATTAATAGTTTATCTTCTTTATTTAAAGAATGTAACATATTATTTCAGTTTATTAATTATTTGAGATTCTCAAACTCTTCTCAAACAAGGACTGAGGCTGTATTAATAATTATTACTTGAAACTTTCCTCACGTCAGATGATCAGATTGCAATTATTAAAGATTGCAAAGAGCTTAATTTATTTTAATTG